AATCTATTCCAGGAATGGCTGAAAATTTTTCATGAAAACTATCTGTTCAGTAGAATATTAAAGACATTAATGCATTTATCATCCAGAAACTATCTAACTTTTTCTAAATTGAATAGATTAGCAATTTATGATGTACTGCAAACCTAGACATATTGAAGTAAAAAAAAAGTTCACCTGATTGAGCATTTTCACGTTCCAATGGCTGTGCACTATCCAGATACCTATCTGTATTTTCTGAGGGTTCTAGGCAATTATTTGGACGAGAACCAGAAGACAAAGAACCGTCAATCTCAGAATTGAACATAATCTTTTCAATTACCTGGGAATGAGGAATTTCTCCTTCAGTCTTTTTAACACAACTAAAATCTTCCATTCTTCCCTAACATAAATTCAGAAAAAGAATATTAAATAAGGGCTCTATAACGAAACTGTTCAGGCACCTTATTGACAAGAGTATAGATAACAAAATGTTTCCCCTTTTCTTTTTTCCAGCCAGACAATTACAAAATCTATTTGATCCAAATTTACCATGTGAACATCCAGTTCATTATCCAGAAACATATCTGAACATCTGTACTATAACTTGCCTTTGTGAGTTGTTGCAACGAAGACCTTGAAGGTTTTAGATATAAGATAAGTAATCGGTAGGCTTTGTTGTGAAAGAATAAGGTTGAATCAGAAAAAAAAAAAAAAAATTGAAGTACCAAGATGAGAGAGTGGGAGGAAATATAGCATAAATCAGGCACTTGACAAACCGGAACATCTTTATCACCCCTATGAAAACAACTATTCTCTTAAAGGACAACTCAACTGCAAGCACTGGGATGCTTTGGAATGAGGACACTGAGAAGAGTAAAGAAAAATAAATGATGGAGACACAGAAAAAGAACATGATTGAAAAATTGAAAGACATAAAGCCAAGACCAAGGAAAAGGGAGTCAAGATATGCTTTGTTGGAATCCAGGAGTAAGACTCTATTAAGCTAACCATATATCGGCATAGTCCTATCAAAGAATGAGATGATATATCAAATGAAAAGGTAAAAGAATGATGTGATATATCAAAGTCAATTCCCATAAGAAAAATATATGCCAATTAAAATTAGGTCTTCCATTGTAAAAATTTTGCAAACTTAAAGAAAAATTAAAGGAAAAATGAATACAATCAATGCATGAACTTGTAGTTTACCAGTTCATAACGTAAAAGAATAAGCAAATTATGTAGTACATCCATGTTTCAAGACAGCATTTGGCTGTGCCAGTTTTATCAATCAGTTCAAGATTGTGCTCTTTAGATTGACCTAATATAACAAAAAATATTCAGGTTAATCTGGGTTGCAAACTGCATCAGCCAAAGGATCTCCTTAGGAAGTAAAAAGCAAAGTGTATAAAATAAAATTCATAAGTTCATTTCAGAAGATGTCTGACAGGAAAGGTAAAAAAAAAAAGAGAAGTGATAGGATAAATGATAAACTCTAACCATTAATTCCAAGTAGTGGACAAGAACAATGTGGGAGAAGTCCCTGCAATAGTGGTAATTTATGTCAGAAAAGGAGGAGAAAGCCTGAAAAAATCAATCTAAAATTTGCAATCACCAAATTAACACAGTCCAACTAGACAATAAGCTAGCGAACCTCATGTAATACAAGGTAGTATAGTTTTTTATTCTTTAATTCATGTATTATTATTTGATATCAAAGATAATTCCTTAAAAATCTAATTCGATTAATCAAGATGTTTAGGGCTTTATTTGGTTATCTGATGAAAGATGGGAGCTAATTATATCTTAAAAAAAGATACAAAATCCTAATTTGACCAACAATCTGTCAAAATCTGGAATATAATTTTCAATAAAAAAAAACATTAAATTTTACTATAAGCATATAATCCATCATTTAAAAATAAAAGCAATAATAAAAAGGAGGAATCATACTTTTTTCGTATTAAATACTGCATCTAATAAGAAGTCCCAAGTCCAAATTTTAACTGTCTCTCTAATCCACATAAATAAAAGCTGTTTTCTCAAATTTTATCCATGGAATGTAAATTTACACAAACACTATCCAACAAAAAATTTGGCAGACTCATTCACATAAAAAATGACACTTACTTTTCGGGCATTGAATAACAACATCTTTGAAAATTTTTGTTCTCTTCCCCAAGGGCATAGTAGCAATGCAAAACATCAATACTTCCAGCCTGAAAGGAATTATGATTGTTCAATATAGTAGATTGGAAGCATAGAAAAGATGTCGAAAATGTATTCACAATATCAGAATTCAACAGAATAACCAAATTATGACAACAAATCCAAAATCTTTGGCTCTTACCTTGAGCTTCTTATGACCTTCCTTTGCCAATTTTCCATTCTCTTTCCTTTGCCAATTATGTCCATCTTTTCTAAAATTTCTTGTCACCTTTCGATCAAAAAGAAAAGTGAACCACCTGAAAACAGAAATGTATATTACCAAGAGGTGCTTCGAAACAAACTTCAAGATGTTTGCATGCGCATGTGCAAGTTTTGCTAGGGAGCACAAATAGTTTGCAAGGCTGTGTTCAATCCAAATTGTGCTTATTATTTGAGAAGCTAATTAAACAACCCAAGCTTGAAATCTGTATTAACCAAACAACTCTTCAAGCCAAGGTCAATGAGCCTTCAAAAACCACTAATAAGAACTTGAGCTTGAGACTTTCAAAGCCATTGACCTAGGCCTTTATGGGAAGAAAATATCATTAACCAAAATACATTTTCATAATCCATATACCACAAATGTTGATGACAGAATACACCTAGCTGACTCCAATTACATGAGTTATTGATTTATCTACTAGGAGTTCTTGGGGGGTATTCATAGGCCTTAATGAGGTGTCCACGTGGCTTGCTTAACGAGATAATCGGAGTCTGACGTGTCCCTTCAGGCGATGATCTCGGGACTGGGAAATCAAGTGAAGACATGTTCACTATACTTGTCATGCAGCTATTTGACTGAAAAGTGCTGGATTTAACCTTCACTTCGGTTATTAACAAAATGTAGTAGTATGTTCGAGGTTAAGAACCTCGGGCCTATCCTTACACTATTCCCCCCTTGAAGTCAGTCACTTGTGAATGATGTAGTTAAAAGTGGTAAGGGAAGTGTATACTTTATTGGGGAATACATGATAAAATGTGATGAAATATCACAAGACCAAGTAATGAGGGGAGTATGCTATAGAGCTACATTATGCTATGAAGCTATGTTAGCAAGTAATGAGGGGAGTATGCTGGATCCAAAGTAAAATGAGTGACTTGAGGTCACTATGGTCGAAGCCGAAGTAAAATAGGTGACTCGGGGTCACTATGGCCGGAGCCGAGGTAAAATGTGTGACTCGGGGTCACTATGGCCGGAGTCGAGGTAAATGTGTGACTCGAGGTCACTATGGCCAGAGTCGAGGTAAAATGTGTGACTCGGGGTCACTAGAGATTAAATACTTCTAATAAAAAGATATTTATGTGCATGTGAACAAAAGTATTTGGGTTGGGCTTAATTAGCCCCGTCTGAAAAGCCTGACACAGAGTTAGTACGTGATACAACAGCTGTCTTTTAAAAAATGTGTACAATAAATATGTGCTGTAAAAAGTAACTGCTATAGTTAAACAGACACAATCGAAAACGAATTGTCGAATTTGAGAGGGTTCCATTAGGGATTAACCGTCGAATTCGAAATAGTGTAATTGTGACCGTCAAATAAAATTAATCACAACTGTTGAGACATATATTTGCTTTGGTATATATAGCTATACTTCTATAAAAAGGGTTTTACTTTTGCTGTATTTGCTATCGAAGTGCTGCCAAAATTTCCACTGTGCTTGTGCGACTAATTCCTGTGTTACGCTTTTGACTTCAACACTTGTTCTGAACTACTGAAATTAGGTAACTCATGAACTTTAGTGATTCTGATACTAGTGACGAGTTTTATTCTCCTATCACCCTTTCTGATTTAGACTTAAGTCCTCTTAAGGCGGTTAGGGTTAGAAGTGAGAGTGACATTGAATGTGAGTTATAATTTTTTGAAGATCTTAACTATATACCCCCTCCTATCCCGTGTAGTGAAAGTTACAAAACTGAAGAAATGTCGTCAGAGGAGACGTTGAGTGCTGGGGGAAGTGAAGAGGTGAGAGCCTTGGAGTATGATGATATGGGTGTGGTGAGTGAGTCATCTGGGTTAGAAAGGACAGAGGAAGAGGTGGGGGGAAATGAGGTGGCTGAGGTTGAGGGAGAGGAGGCTCCCGCAAATATATTAGAAGTGGGAGATAGGATTGATAGGTGTTATGATATTAGGGCAGACATTGTGTCTGAGGTAAGGGGTTATGAGACTGAACTCTGGCCTAGGGATAGCCTTAGTTACCTAGTAGAGACTTATGAGATTCCTCCCCAAGTTCTAATTAGGCTTGTTGGAGTGGAGGAGAGGGCATGCTCTGCACCCCATGTTCACTGGATGCCCGTGTATGCCCATTATTTGGTAGTAGGGCTTAGGTTTCCCATCCTAGAATTGCTGGTTTTGTTATTGTTAGATTATAGTATAGGTTTAACCCAATTAGCTCCTAATGCAATTAGGGTAATTATTGGGTTTTTAGTTTATTGCTGAGCTCCGGGTTTTAGGGTCCCCACTGTAAATATGTTTAAGCATTTCTATGTGCTTAAGGTTGGGAGTAGGAAGGGGAATGGGTGGTATTATTTTACACCTCGAGCATCCAACAAAGAAAAGAGGAATTTATTTAGTGTAAGGCCTTCATCCATTAAGGGATGGTAGGAAAAATTCTTCTTTGTTGATGACACTAAGTGGGCCAGGAGGGAAGCCAAAGTGGAGTTTTTGTTTGCTTGAAAGGCTAAGAAAGCCAACCAAAATAAATATAGTTTAAATAGTGATGCAAATTAAGAGGTTGGGAAGTTGGTGAGAAAGGGAGGTGACACTTCGAATATCATGTACCTCATCAGCTCGGATGTCATAGAGGCTGCTGAGCTCTATGGGCCAAGCTCGTTGAGTGAAGGTGTGTTTGTGTTTTGTATTGTGTTATTTATTATTAAATTTTGATTTATGTTTTTAACATTTTTGCTATATTGTAGCTGAGATGGATAAGTTTTTGGCTACTGTTGGTGGGATGGCCATTCCAAAGAAGCCAAGGAAGAAGTCAAAGTGATGAGCTAAATTTATATACATATTAATAAGGAATTTTTACTTTGATATTATTGATATTTGAATGAGTTTTATGGGATTTTATTTGATTTTACATGGTTTTCATCCTTTGTGTAGGAAAGGATTTAATTGGAAGAAATTCTACTTTTTAGAAGTAAATTGAAGAGATCAGAGACTTGAGGATAAACTTGTGCAGAATCCAGAAGTCAAGAACCAAATCTGCTATTTTACCATTGAAGAAATTGCAAAAGGAGACCAGAAACCCGACACTGGTGTAGTGTCGACACATGATCGGGGTGTCGACACCATGCGTTAAACGTCCAGAATCAGATTCTGTTTCCTATTTTGTGTCAACATGTAATCCGAAGTGTCAGCACCACGCGATCAGCATCCAAAATTCAGTTTCCTATTTCTGTTCCAAGTCCTACTTCTATTTTAATTAGGATTTTTAAAATCCTATAATTAGTCATCCAAATTCAGAATTAAGAGAGCTTTGGGGAGGCTTGTGGCAGCTCTCTTTTAGGCATTCTTGGAGGTCAAGATAGAGGATTCAACAATAGGAGATCAAGGATTGCAATTTTCTCAAATTAGGTTTTATTCTTCCTTGTTCATAACTATGATTGTAGATTTTATTATTTTTACTATGATCTGATTTATTCTACTATGGCTACGATGTAGCCTAATCAATTCAATATGGATTTAGTGATTTTATGCTTTCAATTAAAGTTATTTGCATAAGGAGTTTATATTATTGAACTTAATGCATTGGAAGTTTGATCACCTTTCAATTGATTTAGTGATTTATGCATGAACTTGAGAAAGAATTGCGTAGATTAGACCAATAATAATATAAACCGTGTGCTAGACTATAAGACCGAGAGGTAATTAGCTCACATGTGGTAGTGGAGGAAGAGAAGAGAGTTAGTAGCTCCCCCTTCTTAAGCTAGAGGTTTTCATAGAATCTAATGCTCATAAGTTTGTTTAAAATTACATAGAGATATGATTAATTTAATAAACAAGTGAAGGATTAACTTGACTTGAGAAACCTAATTAATTAATTTAGGGAAATTCGCCATCACATGCAATAACACTCAACAATTTAGTAATCCAAAATTTATATTAATTGATTATAGTGAAGTCAATGCCTTAGTATCTCATATCTTGGTTAGGTTTAATTTAATTGTTATTTTCTTTTTATTATTTTCAATTAAAGTTTCTTCCTATTTGGTTGTTCAAATAAATTTGGATTAATTATTTTGGTACTTGGTTAGACACAATCCTCGTGGGTTCGACACTCTTCTCATCATTATATTACTTGGAGCGACTAGTACACTTGTTAGGGTGATTTTAGTGCATCACAAAGACTTCGAAAAATGTGGTGAGTAAGGGAGGAGTTGAGATGGAGTTGGTTTCTAGCACCTCAGCCAGAGCTTTAGATGTTTAAGTGAGGCCAGAGCTCAAAAGGACAGGAAGTGAAGACTTAGAGCCACCTTAGAAGAAGAAGAAGATGGGAGAACAGGAGGTTAGAGGGGATGAGGTGGTTGAGTTCGTACCTCGGCCTTCTCCTATTGAGCTTGATTCTGAACTCAAGGAGACTAAGGTTAGAGCTCCTGGTAAGGGGAAGGAACTCATCCCCCCTCATTCTCTACAAAGCAGCCTTTTTGATGCCAAAAACACGACGGCTGCTAGGAGATTTATCAATTCAACTTTTCTCGAGGTGGATCGACATCGGGCTAGGGAAGAGGTGTTGACTCATGTAGGAACTATAGTTGTTAAACATGTCTTGGAGGTATGTTAAGTTGTTCATTGTTGTTTGTTGGCTCTTTCTCTCTCTCTTTTTTTTTTTTTTTAACTTTT